CAGAGCTCATCAGCTGCTGGCTTCAGCTTGAGCAAGAAGTCTTCAATGTCCCAGCAGGTGATACTTCACTACTGACTTGCTGTGCACAGATTTGATGCTACTCCATCAAGATGCACAGGCCAGGCTAGGTGTTGTGTGTCTCATACCCCTAGCACTATTGGGAGGCCAGGGCAGAAGGACTGCTTGAACCCAGGAGTTCAAGACCAGCCTGGGCAACACAGCAAGACCCCATCTCTAAAAAAACAAAAAACAAACAAACGAACAAAAAACAAAAAATTAGCCAGACACGGTAGCATGCACCCATAGTCCCAGCTACAAAAATTAGCTGTGCATGGTGGTGCGTGCCTGTAGTCCCAGATACTCAGGAGGCCAAAGAGGGAGGATCACTTGAGGTCAAGAAGTCGAGACTGCAGTGAGCCATGATTACACCACTGTACTCAGCCTGGGCAACAGAGTGAGACCCTGTCTCGAAGGAAAAAAAAAAAAAGCAGCAGCACAGACCAAGCAGAGCCCAAGAATAACCATTCTGACATTCATGGGTTCCACCTGTAATGGCTACTTCCCACATACAGAGGCACCAACGGTTCCCTCAGCCCAGGTCTCCATGCCAACCAGGCTCAAGTTTTAAACCCCAGAGATTAGGTTCTCCAGGGCACACGAGACACTAGGGATAAAACCTAGAGATACAGTCCAGGTCCCAGCTATGCTAGCTTCTCCCAAGGATTCTTCAGTCTTCCCTGCTTCCTCATTGTCAGGGTCCCTAATCCTATAAAGCAGGTTTCTTGTCGGCAGCATATATGGGTCTTGTTTCTTTATCCAGTCAGCCGCTCTATGTCTTCATTGGAGAACTGAGTCCATTCATGTTGTTTCATTACTGACAAGGAAGAACATGCTACTGCCATGATGTTGCTTGTTTCTGGTTGTTCTGTAACTCCTCTCTTCTTTTCTCACTGTCTTCCGTTGTGGTTAAGTGATTTCCTCTGGAAATATGTTTTAATTCATTACTTTTTATTGTTGGTGAATTTATTATAGGTTTTTGTGTTGTGGTTACCATGAAGCTTACAAAAACATCTTAGGCCAGGCAAAGGGCCTCATGACTGTAATCCCAACACTTTAGAGGACGAGGCAGGTGGATCACACAGTCAGGAATTTGGGACCAACCTGGCCAACATAGTGAAACACAGTCTCTACTAAAAATACAAAAACTGAACTGGGCATGGTGGCAGGCACCTGTCATCCCAGCTACTTGGGAGGCTAAGGCAGGAGAATCACTTGAACCCAGGAGGTGGAGGTTGCAGTGAGCCAAGATCGTGCCACTGTACTCCAGCCCAGGTGACAGTGCGAGACTCATTCTTAAAAAAAAAAAAAAATTTTTTAGAGATATGATGTTATTTTTTTAAAATGACAGCTTAGATCACAAAGAAACAAAAAACAAAGTTTACACTTTAACTCCATCCCTCCGACACACACATTTTGACTTTTAATTTTCTCATTTTATATATCAGATATTACCTCTTAACTGGTTGCTACAGCTATTATTATTTTTTGGTAGATGTGTCTTTTGGGCTTCATATGCGAGTGATGAGTGAACTGCACACCGTAATTATAGCATTAAAACATTCTGGGTTTGTCCATGTACTTAATTTTACTCGTGGGTTTTACACCTTTAATTGCTTTTGTTTTTCACATGAGTGTTTTTTCTTTCAGATTGAAGGACTCCCTTTAGCATTTCTAATTGCCACAGGTCTAGCGCGGTGAGTTCTCCCAGCTTTCATTCGTCTGTGTTCCATCTATTTCGGTAGACTCATAATTCAGTAGTGCTCATTAGCTTATCTTCACATGTAGTAGCTTTAAGGTTTTCGTCTTTCTTTGAGTCAGATTCTCTGCCTCCGACGTGATCCATGGCCATCCTTTCTGAAGTTACTAAAGCACATGTTGGGCTTGGCCTCAGCCAGCCTGCAGTGGTGCAGTGCATACCCAAGAGGCCCCTGCTCTTCACCGGCATCACACAGAGACATTGGAGTTGTCCCCAGGGGGTAACCTTGGTCTGGATCATTTTCTGTGTTGAAATTACATCATGGTCTGCCAGCGAACAAAGCCAGTATTATCTGTTGCTCTTTTTGAACAATGCCAAGTACCAGCCTATCCAAGCCTCCATCCTATTGCCAGCCAGTGTGGAAAGGCCTCATTGGCATTCAGCACCAGGTTGCCAAACCCTCAGGCAGCCCCAGCTGCCACCATACCTCAGCTGCCTGCCCTTTCACACAGAGAAGGGAGGGCAAGTGAGAGCTTGTGCTTCCCACCAAGGAAGCGGTTTATCAGGAAGTGGGAGAGGGAGAAGCTTAAGGGAAGAAGAGACTGGAAGTTTCCCTCTCCTCCAGTCCGTCACTCACAATCTCTGCAACCTTCAGAGCATGGCTCCTCTGTTCCTGGATGCTGAAGAGTTAGTGGGTGACTGGACATTGCCCAGTGAGCTCTTGGCCCTCTGCCAACTGCCCTCAGGAGGATCTGGGGCCTGCCAGCGTTAGCTCTAAAGGGATGCTGGGTTTTGGAAGATCCAGTTGGACTCAAGAAGATAAAATAAGAAACCCCAATTCTTTGGGGCTAAGCACTTGGATTTCTTTTCTTTTTCTTTTCTATTTATTTATTTAGAGACATGTTGTCACTCTGTTGCCTAGGCTGGAGTGCGGTGGCATGATCACAGCCGACTGCAGCCTCAACCTCCCAGGCTCAAGCAATCCTCCTGCCTCAGCCTCTTGATTAGCTGGGACTACCAGTGTGGGCCACCATGCCTGGCTAATTTTTGTAGGTTTGGTAGAGATGGGGTTTCGCCATGTTGCCCAGGCTAGTCTCAAACTCCTGAGCTCAAGCGATCCTCTTGTCTTGGCCTCCTAACATGCTGGGATGAGAGGCGTGAGCCACTGTGCCCGGCCTTCAGTTTTCTTTTTTTTTTTTTGAGACGGAGTTTCGCTCTTGTTGCCCAGGCTGGAGTGCAATGGCGCGATCTCGGCTCACCGCAACCTCCGCCTCCTGGGTTCAGGCAATTATCCTGCCTCAGCCTCCTGAGTAGCTGGGATTACAGGCACGCGCCACCATGCCCAGCTAATTTTTTGTATTTTTAGTAGAGACGGGGTTTCACCATGTTGACCAGGATGGTCTCGATCTCTTGACCTCGTGATCCACCCGCCTCGGCCTCCCAAAGTGCTGGGATTACAGGCTTGAGCCACCGCACCCGGCCTCAGTTTTCTTTTTAATTTTTTTTCTTTTTTTTTTTCTGAGACAGGGTCTCACTCTGACACCCAGACTGGAATACAGTGACATGATCTCAGCTCACCACAAACTCCACCTCCCAGACTCAAGTGATTTTCCTGCCTCAGCCTCCTGAGTAGCTGGAATTACAGGTGTGCACCACCACACCCAGCTAATTTTTGTATTTTAGTAGAGATGGGGTTTCACCATGTTGGCCATGCTGATCTCGAACTCCTGACCTCAAATGATCCACCCACCTCAGCCTCCCAAAGTGCTGGGATTACAGGTGTGAGCCACCATACCCGGCCCTCGAGTTTATTTTCTAGTGCTGGAGGCAGCATGTAAACATGAGATTTCTACTTGATTAATCTAACAGACCTCTGTGGTAGACTAAAAGAAATGCCAAAAACTTCTGTTTCTTATCCCCAGGAGCTGTGAAAATTATGTACATGGTAAAATAGTTAAATATTACCTTACATGGCAACATGGGATTGAGTGAAGGATTCTGAAGGCAGAGCTTAATCCCAGATCATCTGGCTCAGCCCTAACCAGAATCACAGGCATCCTTAGAAGGAGAAAAGGGGCAGAGGGAGTTTTTGCAGACTAACAGGAGAAAGCAATTTGAAGTTTAAAACCTGAAAGCCTAGCTGTAAGTTAAATCCATGGACTGGACTGAGAACTTGTCTTCCTGTTTGGCACACTTTCCTCTGATTGATCCCCACCCTTCTCACCTATTTTACACACACCTACCCTCTCCTAGTTGGCTGCCTACACTGCCAAGCCCACCTTTGAGTGGTGTCTTCACTTTAACCTTTTTCGCATACTCACAAACCAATCAGCACACAGTCCCCATTCTGAGTCCATAAAAGACCCCAGATCCAGCCACCTGGGAGTGGGGGGCAACTCTCCCACCTTCAAATAGGGGAACCAACCCCGAGTCCCCTCTCTGCTGAAAACTGTTTTCATCACTCAATAAAATTCTTCTCTGCACTCCTCATCCTTCAATGTCCTACATATCCTCATTCTTCTTGGATGCAGTACAAGAGCTCAGGAACCACCGAACTCAGCTACATGCTATAACACAGGCAAGCTGGGGCGCACCAGCACAGCCAAGTGAGGCCTGGGTGGGATATCGCTGGCCAGGGATCCCTAGCTTGCAACGTGACTGCAAAGAAAAATCTTACGTCAACCTATAGTCCCAGCTACTGGGGGAGCTGAGACAGGAGAATCGCTTGAGCCCAGGAGGTTGAGGCTGCAGTGAGCTGTGATTGCGCCACTGCACTCCAGCCTGGTGACAGAGTGACCACACCTAGCTTAGTCATTTATTTTTAGAATCCTTATCTCTTAAGGGAACATAATGAATTTTTTTTTTTTTTTTTTTTTTTTTTTGAGTCTCACTCTGTTGCCCAGGCTGGAGTGCAGTGTCGCGATCTTGGCTCACTGCAACCTCTGCCTCCTGGTTTCAAGTGATTCTCGTGCCCCAGCCTCTTGAGCAGCTGGGATCACAGGCCTGTGTCACCATGCCTGGATAATTTTTGTATTTTTAGTAGAGATGGGGTTTCCCTGTGTTGGCCAGGCTAGTCTCAAACTTCTGGCCTCAAGTGATCTGCCCACCTCAGCCTCCCAAAATGCTGGGATTACGGGTATGAGCCACTGCACCTGGCCCATAGTGAATATCTGTGGAGAAAATAAGATGTCTTTGGGTTCCCAGTGTTCCACTGACATAGTTGGTGGGCAGTAATTGAGCCAACATGCTGTGGAGTCTACTGGCTTTTTGTGAGATCGCCCAGAGGACCATAAGCACTGCTTTTCGTAGGTATTTTGAAAATAAAGTTCCAGAAAAGCAAAAGCTGTTTCAGGAGGATAATGGAAATCCAGTACAACTAAAGGGTGAAGTAGCTGATGCCCTCTTGCAATACTGGGGTTCAGGGTGCCCTCAGCTCCCCTGAGAGGATGTTTCTCCAGGTTCTTGGTCTCCTGCCCTCTCAACCATGAGAGAGGGGACCACGGCACAGTGCGCAGTAAATGCCAGACTCAAAAGCATTTGTAGAAAGTGATTTATTTAGAGAGAGAAAAAGGAGAAGGAGAGACAAACATCTAACTCTCGCACTGAGTGAGAGAAAGAAAAGCTGCTCTCACACTGAGAAGGGTCCCCAGAAGGGGAAAACCAGACCAGGAAAGCTTCTCTCACATTGAATGAGAGAATCCAGAAAGATGGAATCCAGGAGAGGAAAGCAGCTTCCACACTGAGTGGAAGGGAGTAGAGAGAGATGGAGTTTAGGAGGGGAAGACAGGCTTCCACGAGGGGGTGGGGAAGGCGACTCCAGAGGGGAAATCCAGGAGAGAGAAAGACGGCTTCCACGAAGGGAGTGTCCATGGAAGGGGACCCAAAATGGAGTCCGAACGGGTGTGGAAGAAGGGGACTTTTAACCTGAGAGGAACCCCCACCTTCTCCAAGACCCCAAGCCAATGAAAGGAGTTCCTTAGAACTTGACTCTTAGTTTCTTCCTGCGCCTGCGAAATTTAAACATAAACTGTTAAATCTCCTGGATGAGGAGAGATGGGAGGGGGGCATGGCACTCAGTTCTTGCCCTTAAAACTACGTCCCTTTGTGGACTCGGAAAGAGAACACATTCCCTCACTCCTCTATAAGTTGCCATGGTTCTTAGAGTTGGTGGGACGACATATGCCATATATCTGCTGGCCATGGCTTCCTTTCCCAAGAAGCAAGACTGACTTCAGTTCTCCCAGCAATCACTTGGTTCAATTTCACTGAGCTCTGTACAGACCAATTGAGCTCTTCTTTGGGTATCAACATTTATTGAATTATACTAACTGCCACCAATAAAGCAGTTTTTACCATTGGGTGTGGGAGATGCCTGATTTTAGAACAAATCTGTGGGGTGAAGAATGTGGGAGTGAAGGGAGATATTTATGAAACAGGACAGTCAATGTGTTCATTACTAAACCAGGATGATGGGGGTTGATGGGGCTCCTTGTATACAAGCATAATGAATAGATTATTCTCAGCTTTCCATAATGACATTACTAAAAATGAGCCATTCATCAGAGAACTTTGTACTCGTTAGATGATTTGGCTATAATTATTAAACTTATCTCAGTGAAACAGTTGAGTCAACAGTAATTAGACCAGTTCTTGACTTCAGTCAAAATATGGTAAGAGGGTAAAAGTCAAAAACATGGCCTTTCATTTCCTATAGATACGAAGGAGGAAGGCAAGGAGAGTCCAACTGTCCCTTCTGTCCAGTTCCAAAAGATCTGATGTGCAAGGCTCAGGAAAGCGGTCTCCCAGGTCACTGCCTAGGGCCTCGACTTCAAGAAAGTTGAATCCAAGCCTGCTGTTTGGGAAGTCATCTGACTTTGAAGAATCTGAGACTCTAGGTTTAAAAAAAAAAAAGTATTTGGGGGATGAATTCTTAAGATGTTTAGGCATATTTTTAGAAAGAATATTATCAGATGGCAAGAGGATATCTGCGGAGCGGCAAAAATGAGATGTGTGGACAAGAAACTACCAGGCCAGCGATTGATTTGGTGCACTTATATGGATGTCTTCTATACACCAAAGAAGCTGCATAAATAAAAGAAAATATAAACAAATATAGAGAACACTTACAGCCTCATGAATAGGACTTAATATCCTTGATAATATAAAGAGCTTTGACAAATCAGGAAGCAAAGAGTGACTATGGCAGCTCATTCATCAGCAGGCCCAACAGGCTGGGAAATAATTGTGTTGGAAGCACTGCGGAGCTGGAGGTGGGCTTGGAACACAGGCGTGTACAGCGTGCTGTAGTGGAAGCTTTGTATCATACTAATCCTGTTTCCACTTTGTTATACTCTAGCCAAGACTGACTGTATTCAATGAAATGTGAGGATCTTGTTCAGTCGGAAGCCCCCACTGCCCCTCTTTTTATCTTTTCTTTCTTTTTTTTTACTTAAACATTTTTATGATGATTTAGATGGAAGTTGTTCTTCATCAGTTAGTGTTGATTCCAGCCCTTCAACTGTTCATATCTACTTTATAATATTCACTGTACTAACCCTTCTTCAAGATGGAGTGGTGGGTGGAAACACAGTTTAGCCATGTCCTCAAGATAAAGTCTTGGTAAAAATAAATAAATGTCCTTTAGTTAAAAAAAAAAAAAATAGCAAGCTTCAGCTGGGTGTGGTGGCTCATGCCTATAAACTCAGCACTTTGGGAGGCCGAGACAGTCAGATCACTTGAGGTCAGGAGTTCGAGACCAGCCTGGCCAACACAGTGAAACCCTGACTCTACTAAAAATACAAAAATTAGCCATGTGTGGTGGCACATGCCTGTAATCCCACCTATTCAGGAGGCTGAAGCAGGAGAAGCACTTGAACCAGGGAGGTTGCAGTGAGCTGAGACTTCACCACTGCACTCCAGCCTGGGTGACAGAGGAAGACTCCATCTTAATAATAATAATAATTCTTTTTTTTTTTTGAGATGGAGTTTCGCTCTTGTTACTCAGGCTGGAGTGCAATGGTGCGATCTCGGCTCACCGCAACCTCCGCCTCCTGGGTTCAGGCAATTCTCCTGCCTCAGCCTCCTGAGTAGCTGGGATTACAGGCACGAGCCACCATGCCCAGCTAATTTTTTGTATTTTTAGTAGAGACGGGGTTTCACCATGTTGACCAGGATGGTCTCAATCTCTCGACCTCGTGATCCACCCGCCTCGGCCTCCCAAAGTGCTGAGATTACAGGCTTGAGCCACCACACCCGGCCCAATAATAATAATAATTCTTTTTAAAAAAGCAAGCCTCAACACACACACACTTTTGAAAACTATGTTTGTATCATGTCTACTAATATGCCACTCAGTAAAGCAAGTCATTGTATAGGAGAGAGAAAAACTCTTTCCTCTACCCACTTAGGTTCAATGGCTAGGTCCTTGCAAATTAGAGTGACAAATTAAATTAACAGGAGAAAAGGTTTATCATTACATATGCATATGGAGGTCTTCATAGAAACGTGAAGACCCAGGGCCAGACGCCATGACTCATGCCTGTAATCCCAGCACTTTGGGAGGCCAAGGCAGGCAGATCCCCTGAGGTCAGGAGTTTGAGACCACCTGGCCAACATGGCAACACCTTGTCTCTACTAACAATGCAAAAATTATCCGGGCATTGTGGATACCTGCATACCTGTAATCTCAGCTACTTGGAGACTGAGGCACAATTATCACTTGAACCTCGAAGTGGAGGTTGCAGTGAGCCAAGATCACACTACTGTACTCCAGCCTGGGCAACAGAGCAAGACTCTGTCTCACTAATAAATAAATAGAAAAGTGAAGACCCAAAGAAGCAATTAGGCCAAGAATATACCATTTTACCAAAGAACGATAAATTGTGGAAACAGGACGTGACAAAGGAAAAGGGTTTTGAGCTCCTGTGGGGCAGTAAGTTGTGGGAAGGTAAATATATGGGGGAAAGTAATGGAAGATAAAGGTTACTTTAGTAAGGTTTATTTGCAGACTCATCCCAGCATATATTTTTCACGGCCATAAAACCCCTAAGCCACCGAGCCGTGGAGAGAAGCAGCAGCTCTCCTCCATAAGAAAAGGTCCTAAAACTGCTCAGGGATGGAGAGGCAACCTGGCTGGGCCTGGCCATCCCCACACAGGGCCCAAGCCTGTGACCTTGTCCATCTTGAACCCTGCAGACCACCCCAGCCACCAATAAATATCACCAAGAAATTCCAGTGAACACCACATGAAGCAAAAGAACTGATCATCTAAGTCCTGCCTGAATTCCCTGGCCCACAGAAGCATAAGAATAGTTGTCATTTTAAGCCAATACATTTTGAGGTAATTTGTTACCTAGTAACAGACAGCTAGAACCCCTGACCAATATAACTCTTAATAGGAAATGGGCAAATATCTTAAACAGATCATTCACAAAGAAGAAATACAGACTACTGAGAATATGGAGAAATTATATCCCAAATTCATTATTAATAATAAAGAGTGAACTAAAACAAATAGACTATGTGTCAACTTGGGAAGCTTGTGTTTTTAATACCTGGTATTTGCAAGACTGTGGTAGAGGTGGTATTTTCTTACACTCCTGATGCTATTGTTTGAATTTTTGTTTCCTCCAAAACACATGTTAAACTGAGGCAGGTGGATCATTTTAGGTCAGGAGTTTGAGACCAGCCTGGCCAACAGGGTGAAATGCCGTCTCTACTAAAAATATAAAAATTAGCTGGGCGTGGTGTCAGGTGCCTGTAATCCCAGATGCTCAGGAGCTTGAGGCAGGAGAATCACTTGAACCCAGATAGGAGAGGTTGCAGTTAATCAAGATCGTGCCGCTGCACTCCAGCCTGGGTGACAGAGCAAGACTGCATCTCAGAAAAAAATGAAAAAAAAAAAAAAAAAAAACCTTAAGCCCCAATGTGGCATTATTGAGAGGGGGGCCTTTAAGAGGTGATTGGCTCATGGCCCTGCCCCATGAGTGGATTCATCCATTCATGGACTAATGGACTAGTGGGATATCACAGGAGTAGGACTGGAGGCTTTACAAGAGGAAAAGAGACCGAAGCTAGCATGCTCAGCCCCCTCAGGACTCTACAGAGAGTCTCCACCAGCAAGAAGGCCAGATGCACCCCTTTGACCTTGTACTTCCCAGCCTCCAGAATTGTAAGAAATAAATTGGTTCTTTATAAATTACCCAATTACAGATACTCTGTTATAAGCAATGGAAAATGGATTAAGATACCTTACTATGAATATGTCTGGGTTTTTTGTTTGTTTTATTTTGAAACAGGGTCTCACTCTGTAACCCAGGCCTGGAGTACAGTGGACACAATCACAGCTCACTGCAGCCTCAAACTCCTGGGCTCAAGGGATCCTCCTACCTCAGCACCCAGAGTAGCTGGAACTGCAGGCACACACCACCACACTAGCCTAACTTTTTTCTTTTTCTAACTTTTTGTAGCAACGGAAGTCTTACTATATTGTCTAGACTGGTCTGAAACTCCTGACCTCAAGCAATCCTCCTGCCTTCGCCTTCTTTAAGTACTTCTTTAAGGAATTACAAGTAAGCCACCCTGCCTGGCCCAAATAGAAGTCTTTATGAAGAATTTTCCCAGCAGGCTTCATAGATATAGATACACTGTGACTATTAATTCTGTTTCTAGGAGTTTACCCTTCCACAGAAATAATCAGATGTGCATCATGCTTTACAGACACAATAAGACACAATTAACCAGAAAAGAAAACTGGACACAATGAAGGAGTCCACAAATATTACAATCATTGAATTGTGGCATGTCACACAGTGAAGTATTTTGCCGATATTAAAAATAATGTTTAAGAAACTTGTAAAATTATAGGTGAATTTTATTTCCTTTATAGTGTATTTTTCCTCTGACACTTTTTCAGTTTTTTTTGTTTGTTTTTTTGTTTGTTTGTTTGAGACAGGGTTTCACTCTTGCCCAGGCTCAAGTGCAGTGACATGATCTCAGCTCACTGTAGCCTCAACATCCCAGGCTTAGGTGATCTTCCCACCTCAGCCTCCCAAGTAGCTGGGACCACAAGGCATGCACCACCATGTCTGGCCAATTTTTCTATTTTTTTGTAGAGATGGGGTGTTGCTACATTGCCCAGGCCTGTCTGGAGCTCCCGGCCTCAAGCAATCTGCCTGCATTGGTCTCTCAGAGTGCTTGGGATTACAGGCATACAACACTGTGTACAGCC